CCCCTCCCAACCCAGGCCCTTTGCTGCTCAGTATTTCATCCAAGAAACATGTGGGCAGATGTTTTTGGCACACCACTTGGTGGTGGTTCACCTGCGGGGCACCAGAGTAAATGCATGGTTTGGGGGATTCCCCCCTCCCCCCCACCGGCCTGTCCCCAGGCCATCTGGGCTTTCTGGTGGAGTGAGCTACATATATATTTATAGTGGCAGGGACTGTGGGAGCCCGGCGAATAAATAAAGCTGAGAACTTTGGGTGTGCTTCATCCTCTGAATCAAATCCCTCTCCTACTGCCTTTAAGTCAGGAGGCTCAGACTGCAGCCTGAACTACAAGCCCTTGATGCAGCACCCAAGGAACATGCTGTGTTGGGACATTAGAGCTGAGAGGCCCTTTCCACTACGGATGAGGAAACTGAAGCCCACAGAGAAACAGGGGCTTGACCCAAGCATTCTGACCCGAAGGGGCTTTGTGTGGGCCCAGGAGGGTCTGGCCACATAGGCTCCCCTGCCCCTCCCCTCCCCGCAAGTGTAGACTCTGTCAACTTAGCCACTCCTTCGAGTGCAGGGCTGCTTAGGAGGAAGTGGGTCCTGGGCAGCCCTTCTGGGTGTGAGAGGCCAGCTCCTGACGGGCTGCTCCATGCTTAAGGGCCCAGGCAGAGCCTCCAGCCGTGGTCACAGAGGGAGGTGCTCTCTGGAGCCCATCCCCGAGATCTCAACTGTGCTGCACGTTCCAGGACGTGTCACCAGGCGCTGCTCCGAGGAGTCCAGAGAAAGCCTGGAGAGATGGTTGTGCTGGGAAAATGTTGCCAAGTCCTGTTTTAAAAGCAAAACAGAATGAGCCTGTGTGTGTGAGGTGTGTAATGGCTATGTGTGCGTGTGTGTGGTGTGTATGTGTGTGATGTGTCTGCCTGTGTGTACATGGGTGTGATGTGTGCACGCGGATGTGTGTGATATATGAGAGACTAGTTTGGCATATGTACATGTACCTGTGTGTGCGCACGTGCGTGGGTGTATGTGTATATGTGCATTTCACATGTGCATGTGTGAGCAAACATGTGAATTGCACGCACGAGTCTTGTGATATAAGATCGTGTGTGTGTGTGTGTACATTTATGCGTGTCATATATCTACGTGCAGTGTGTGTTTGTGAGGAGCAGACCCCCAGTTCTGTTCCTTCCCAGGGCAGGAGGCTGCAGGATGGGGCAGGCCAGTCTGCCTTCCTGTGAACACCTTTCACCCCCATTTTTTTCTTGTGACAGGCTTCATCTGAAGCCTGTAACCAGCTTGGTGTTACCTGAAGATTTTCTGTCCTTCTCATTGATGATGATGTGCCTGTTCCTTGGAAGAAAATTTGGAAAACTCAGAAGAGCACAAAGAATAAAATGGAAATTGCCCTTAGTCCCCACAGCAGAGTCTGGCTGTGGCTTCATCTGACTTTACTGTCTGGCTACAACTGGGACTTGGCAGGGGAGGAGGGGAAGGCGATGTGAGCACCACTGTCACCCCAGGGCCCTTGAGCTCTGACCCCACAGCAGTCAAGGCTGTGGAAGCTCCTAACCCGCCTTCTTTTGTTGCTGAATTCTTCATGGTGTGCAAAGTCCCTGAGGTGACTGGCTTGACCTGAGCTGTGAAGACAGACACACTGACCTGGGTTTGAACCAGGGCTACACTGACCTCAGAGGGGCTTCATCTTGGTTCCGTTTCTTTCTTTTTTTTTTTTTTTTAAAGATTTTATTTATTTATTTGACAGAGAGAGACAGGGAGAGAGGGAACACAAGCAGAGGGAGTGGGAGAGGGAGAAGCAGGCTTCCCGCCGAGCAGGGAGCCCGATGTGGGACTCGATCCCAGAATCCTGGGATCGTGAGCTGAGCCGAAGGCAGACGCTTAATGACTGAGCCACCCAGGCGCCCCTTGGTTCCGTTTCTTAACCTCTGCAGTTCTGTTTCCTCATCTCTAAAAGGGGATAAAAATAACTACCTTGAGGGGCAGTTGTCAGGGTTACAAATCTGGTGGTGTCCCCGGCAGCAGCTCCATATTCACTGTGGCTCGGGTGCCTGCCAGGTGGCCCTGAACCATGGGCTCCAGTAACCCTACCTTCTTCTTGTGTCCCTTCCTGTCCTGGCCCCAGTGGTGGCAGCAATGTCCTGCTGTTCCGAACCTCTGGGTCACCTCGCCGCCCTGTTGGGCTCCTCGGCAAGTCAAAGCTGCAAACCAGATCCCCTATATGAAATCCCCTTGGTCGAAAGACCTCGTGTGGTTTTGGTTTTGTGTGGAATCCTAACTGACACAGACGTGACATGCAGGGCAGTGTCTGGCACATAGAAGATGCTCAGTATGTGACACTCAGGAGTTAGCCTCACCCGCTAACCCCTTCCCCAGAGGAAGATGTCAGGAGCCCTGCCTTCTCTGTACTCTTGATCAAAATCCTCACTAGGCTTGTTTACCTTCTTTTTTGTTTTGTTTTTTCTTAAGCTTTATTTATTTTATATAGAGAGCGAGCAAGAGGGAGAGAGCACATGAGTGTGGGGGGAGGGGCAAAGGGAGAGGGAGAGAGAGAATCTGAAATCAGACTCACCGCTGAGCATGGAGCCTGACTTGGGGGCTCCATCTCACGACCCTGAAACCATGACCTGAGCAAAAATCAAGAGTTGGACGCTCAACTGATTGAGCCACCCAAGCACCCCATGTTTAGCTTTTTTTTTTTTTGGTAAAGATTTATTTATTTATATTTTGGGGGGAGGGGCAAAGGGAGAGGGAGAGAGAGTCTTAAGCAGATTCCCTGCTGAGTGTGGAGCCCCATGCGGGCTCGATCTCAGGACCCTGAGATCACAACCTGAGCCGGAGCCAAGAGTCGGATGTTTAACTGCACCACTCAGGCGCCCCCATGTTTAGCTTCTTAAATAGCACGGCCCAATGGTGTGAGAAGGAGCTTTGGAGTAAGACTGCCCTGGGTTTGAATCTCAGATTCACTCTGACTAGCTGGGTGGCCCTAAGCAAATCACTTCCACTCAGCTACATTATCTAAAACCAGGGGACAAGAATAGCAATTTGTATAGATAGTGTTTGCAAAGTGCTTGAGGGAGACGAAGCTATCATGTTTGTTAACTAGCATGATTAATATTATCACCACAGTCTCTGCTTTCAAGAACTTGGGATTTTTCCCACTTGGATTTGAGTCAATGGACATAACAATGGCTCACCCCTATTCTTCCCAGCATCTTTGGATATAAAGAGCTCAAAGGTTGCTGGAAAGGGGGTGAGCAAATTTATAAGAGGTTGAGAATCATGGTAGGAAGAAAAGGATAAAGACCTGGAAACTTTCCTTTTGATGTTGGCCTCAAAGCATCTTGAGTGGGTTCAAGAGGCCACCAAAAGAGTGTGGGCCTCACCATGGATGGAGGGTGCCCCTGGTGGGGTCTTGAGCATGCAGAGCCAAGGTTTAAATGGTCACAGCAGGTGGGCTGGCTTGTGACTGAGGACAGGTGTGCAGAAGTAAAGAGCACTCCTGGACACCACTGATTCTCCACAAGATACCTAGAAGTCATTCTTGGGATTCACACTGTCCCTTCTCTCCTCCCTTCTTGGCCCACATGTTTGCTTCTACCTGGAATGCCTTCTCATCTCTGGTCCATCCAGCAAACTTCTACACAACCTTCAAGACCCAGCTAAGCTAGCACCTGGGTGGCCTCTGCTAACATCCCCAGGTGGAATTAAACACAACATTCTTTGCGCTCTCAGAACTTGCACATTCTTCTTTTGTGGCACTTAGCACACCCTCTTCTGTGGACTCCTAATAGCTTAGGTGGCCTTTTATTGCAGTACTTAGCACAACCTCTTCCATGATTGTATTATGGTTTGTACATCCTTCTATTATGGCACCTGTCACATTTCTACAGTAATAGTAATAGCGACAACAACAGCTGGTAACTGTTGAGAGCTTTAACTACATGCCAGGCACTCAGCCACACACCTCATAGGCATTACCTCATTGAATCCTCTCTTTCCCTAGGAGGTATCACAGATGAGGAGGCGGATCAGTGTTCAAACCCACTGTTGCCTGGTTCTGGGGTCTGTGCTTGTAAGTGCCAGCATTTTGCCTGCGAACCCCAGGAAGAGTGGGGTGGGGGGAAGAGACCCACTTATACCCACCTCTGCGTACCCAGTAGCTGTCAGGGTGCTCGTTGCCAAGTGAGCACTCGATGAACGCCAGAAGAAATAATAAAAAAATTCCATTGTGCTGATGTACCAAGATTTTTTGGAACCATTTCCCTATGCCGCTGTGAATATATCCCGACACATCTCTCTTTCTTGGTCTGGATTATTTCCTTTGGGTCAGCTCCTGGGAGCTCAAAGTGGGCGCGAGGATGTGGCGCTTCGATCGCTACCAAGTCACCATCCCGGCGACGCCGGCCGCTCCGGAGCGCACCCAGTTCCTGGCAGCCCCGCGAGGCTCTCCACACCTTGACGTGGCTGTAACGTCGCGCCCGTCCCGCCCTGCCGCTGGCCTCGGACTCTGACCTTGGCCGGCGCGGTGCAGGCGGAGCCGCGGGAGCTTCCAGCTGCACGCTCCGCTCCCTGCCCGCCGCCTCCTGGCAGCTGGGTCCCCCTGGGGGAGGGGAGCCGCCGCACCCCACCCCGCCTGACCACTCCGCGGCCTCCGGCTTCCCGATCGGGGGGAGGGGCAGGGGCTGGAGAGACAGGAAGGTGGATGGAGGCAGCACTGAGGGTGGGGGGGGGGAGTGTAGGGCACAGGGGGGCAGGGAGATGGGGAAGGGGTGGCCTCGAGGGTGGGGGCTGGGGGGTGGCTTAGGGTCCCCTTTCCCGTCGCTGCGGGGCTGGGGCGCTCCAGCTCCCCGATTTCTTGGCTTAGGGAAGGAAGGCAAATTCTCACCCTGCACCAGGGACTGGAGCTCTTCTCAGGCCTGAGCCGCATGGGGTGGTGCGGGGCAGACCTGGGGTGGGGCTGGGGGAGCAGGCTGAGGGATGCTGGGAGTCTCACGCTCCACCCCCCATGGACGCCCTACTTCCTTTCCACCGCTTTCCCCCTCTTTCCACATCTCTCACTCCACCCCAAAAAGGGGGAAATTCTTCCACTGCTCCAGATGGAAGGCCAGAATCGCCTGCACAGCCCGGACACGCAGGTAAGACCAGAGACATCTAGTTAAGCACAGAGATACTCAATTTAACTCAGACATCTGGTTAAGGGTGTTCTAGCCAGTTGAGACCGGTCTATTTGTGTGTGTGTTTTGGGGTTACCAGATAAAATCCAGGATGCCCTCTTCAATTTGAATTTCACATAGGCCATGAATACTATTTTTGGTGTAAGGATGTCCCCCATGCAATATTTAATATAAGTATGCCCCCAAAATTGCATGGGACACACTAGACAGTAAAAAAATTATTCATTGTTCATCTGAAATTCAAACTGAACTAGTCATTTTGGGTTTTTACTTGATAAATCTAGAAACCCTCATGTATTTCCCTTCTTTTCCTGAATTTTAAACTCAGAATTCTGCCCCCTTCCCCTGCCCCCAACCAGCATCCCTCTTTCACCCTCTTGGAAGAGGTTTGGCTTCCCCTAGACTCATGCTCTTTTTAATCTCCCTCCCCCCTCGTGTTTTATTTACTTTAGCAAAGTCACACTGGGTATCAGTTTCAAAGTCTTTGATGTTATTACCAGAGACTGGGGTTGAGGCAGTATAAACTTTTAGGAAGGTTTCTTCAGGACATTGGAAGGAAATTAAACCTCGGAAAATATGCCTGACATTTTTTTTTTTCTTTCTAAAAAGAAAGTCTGCTGGTCGGGCTTCGTTATGGTCACGGGAGCATGAACAGTGGAGTTAAGGCCCAAAACCTCATTCTCAAGCCGTCACCAGCTGCAACCCCAGCCAAAAAGTGATCTATCTCCAGCTGCACTAAAGACCTTCTCAGGATTTCCATCCTCAGCTGAACCTGTTCAGGGAGGCCCCAAACTTGTAGGCTCAAAGGGATCTGAGACATCAGCTAGACCAGGGCTTCTTAAACGATACCACACACATGCATCTCCTGGAGAGATCTTACCAGTCCCAGTGCTCTGGCCTGAGCCCAGGTTCCTGAACTCAGGATCTCTGGAGGTGGGGCCCAGGCATCACTATTTAATACAAAACTCCCGATGATTCTAGCTGGAGACACAGTGAACCAGAGTAGTGCTTCTTAGTGGCTGACAAGAGCTGATGGGTAGATACCCCAGCTCCCTTCCCCTTGGTCGGGCTAACTCCAAGGGATGTGACCCTCTCCTGTGGGTCATCTCGATCCCTGCTTGCCCAGGTGCCCACGGCGGTAACTGGCTTGATAAAACCCCCTCAATTGGTTACCTTTCCCTCCTGGGAAGTACCAGAAGGCTTTTGGTTGCAAGCAGCAGAAATCGCATTTGGGTTCTGGCTTCCTTTCCCTTCAGTTTGCTCCTCTGCCTTCTTCTGTAGATCAGCTTTATTCTCAGCAGCTTCCTTCATTTTCCTGCACATGTCTAGATTATATCTGTGTTTCAGAATTTCTAGCTTCAAGACAACTGGATCACCTCTGCACCACTCTCTCTAACTTTCCATAGGAATTCCTTTTGCTAGGTGACTGGTGGCCTGAGTTCCTGGTACCGGTCGCTAGGCAGGGGGACAAGGATTTACCCAAACTGGCTAATACTGGTCAAGTCCCACTCTGGGCCTAGGGCAGGGTCAGACACACAATATCCGCATAGTTGCCCTGTGGTGAGGGAGGGGGATGTTTGGGATCAACCACAAGTCTAAAGGAAGGGTGATAAGCAAAAGAAGGGGTGGGGTGGGAGAGCAGAGAGGCTGTAGGAGGGGCCCGCACATCCTAAGTTAATTCTCAGATGAGACAGTATCTTCTTACAGACTTGCCCGCTGAGGCTCCCAAACTGTTGTATCAGCCCCTGGCAAAGGTATTCTTTCTGCACTGCAGGAGGGGTGTCCATTGTCCGTGGCTGTGTCTAAGGAAGGGGTTGGGGAGTGTTGTCCAGAATTAGATCCTGGGACAATGGCTCATGGTGCCTGTGATTTATTAAGAAACTGGAATGGGAATGAAGGAAGCAGATCAGGGTAGGAAGGAGGCTGACCCAGGGACAATCTCAGGCAAAGCCCTACAGAGTGGCTTCGGCCTGATCCTTCGGGGTGCTCTAGTATATAAGGGATGCTCAGGGTTATCTTTTTTTTTTTAAGATTTATTAATTTATTTGAGGGGGCGCAGAGGGAAAAGGAGAGAAGCAGACACCCCACTGAGCTCGGAGCCCTACGAAACTTGGGGCTCGAAACCATGACCCTGAGATCATGACTTGAGCCAATATCAAGAGTTAAGGCTTAACCGACTGAGCCATCCAGGCGCCCCTGCTCAGGGTTATCTTGACCCAGGACAAGATGGCTGGCCTCCCATACTCCTGCTGCCATTACTCCTTCACCTCGGTCGGCGGGCATGGGAGGAGAATGTAACATTCTAAGTGCCTCTGGCTCACTGTCTGGCAAGGAGACTCCAGCAGCTGAGGGAAGCCCTCCAAGGAGGAGCGCCAGGTACCCACTTGGGGAAGCAGTGCAGAGATGGGAAGGGTCGGGGGCATAAACTGGAAGAGAGAGATCTGAGGGCTGGGTGGAGTGCCGATGTTGCCCATGCCAGCTGCCGTGGACTGGGGTCCACATATCCATGCCCACCCATAAACCAGAGGTCTCAAGCTCCACCCACAGATTCATTCTGCTTAGCCCATGTGGTGCTGACTCTCCAGGGCCTTACATCTTCTGAATTAGTGGCCGACATATAAATCTCAGGCGATTTTTTACACAGAAATCCAGCTCTCTAGGCCAGATGTGTTATCAGAGGCCCATGTCGCCACATGGCCACCATTGGTGGATGTCACAGAGTCTGCCCAACATGACCAATTTTACCAGGTGGCCTTGAAGCCACAGTCCCCACCACTCTCTATTTGTGTCCCAAACATAAGCACTGTAATTTTCCTTATTGGAGAGCTAAGAGGAAAGAGAAATATTTTTTGTACCCACGGCTCTGAAGTGGAGGAAAATACACGGGGATGACTAATGCGGACGCAGGATGTGTCTGTGTCTGAAGCATGCAGCCCCGGATGCCATGTGAAGGCTCCCTCCTGGTGCCCGCTGGGCCTGCTGGGCATTTGAGTTTGCCCCTCGCGCTAAGCCAGACTCTTGCTCTTCTGCCCAGATGCAGCGGCTCTGCTTCCCCTCCCCCGTCCCATTTGGTTAAAAGCAGCTGTTTTTTCCCCTTCCAGGTCTCCAAGTGCTGATTTCATTTCTTTCCCGACAAAATTTGAAGCCAGGAGGGAAATGGTTTGGCAGGAAATCAACGTGCAAGCGGAGGAAATAGCGTGGAGGCAGCAGATTCTGTGTCGAGGTCTGAGGTGGGGTGTCCGAACCGAGACTGGACCCAGGCTCTGAAGACCCCAAGAGGCAGAAAGCCTCTTGGAGGCCTGGTGGGACGGCGGCCCCGAGGGTGTTTGCTCAGCGGCCTCAGAGTTTTCTCTCAACAGCTGTGGTGGAGTGGATTCCAGAGAGTTCTTCCTCCCATTCTCTCTGATGTAGGTAGACAGAGGTGGGGACCAGCTGGGGAGAAATGGAGGGGAGTCGGCAGAGTCCTCAATTCCTGACCACCCAAGCTTCACGAGGGGACTTTTGAGTGCTTATGTTGCATGGAGCTGGGGGATGGGGAAGGACATCTGACAAATGATGAGATGCTTAGCACATGAGCAACGACGAAAGCTGCCCCTCCCAGGTCCCGGGCTCTCACCTGCCACCACCCCAGCCACTGAAGCCCCCCTGGCTCTTCTCATTGAGATCAGCCTCCCCTCCCAACCCAGCTACGCCAGCATCTTTGACTGAGTTCTGGAAAAATTTCTTTCTCCTTAACTCTGCCAAGAAAGGGCTGAAAATTTCCAAGAGGAACACTTCACTGAGACCCAGAGGGAAAAAACCCAGGGGCAAAGGAACGGTGAGTTTCCAGAGTGCAGACAATCTGCCCACACGTCTGGTGGAAGCTCACTTGGTGGGCACGGTGGAGGAGGTGTCTATGCCCCGGAATTCTTTGACTCAGCCGGGCCTGGCGGGGAGGCTTGCTTCCAGCCCAGCAGGGATGTCCATCGTCCCAATGACCTGGGATCTTTTGAATGATCCATCTCTCCTCCTTATGAAATTCCTTTCTTTGGCGTCTATTTAGCGGGGAGCCCGAGGGGAGGCGGGCTGCTGGCGCTGCCTGAGCCTCAGCTGTTTTCTGGAATAGTTCACTTCAGGATCTAAACTTGCAAATTCCACTCAGGGAAGCAGAAGCCCTGTGGTTCATGAGGCTTCTCTCCTCGGAGCGGAGCTTCGTGATGTCCATCACTGCTCAGTCGCACCTTCCCGGTCCCTGTCCACTGCATCACTGTGTGTGCCTTCCTGCTGTCCCCCAGGCTGCTCTCCCTCTGGGGATGTGGTTTGTTCCATCTGTCCATGCTTCCGGATTGCTGCCCTAGTCCCCGAGCCTGATCCACTCTGACTGGAGCCCCAGGGACTATCCCTTGTGGGATTCCCACTTGGTGTTCATCTATCCTGAGGGTTTGAGAGGGTTAATCTCATTTCATCATCAGATCACACTTCACGGTGGGTTCTCACACTACCATTTTTAGGGAAGAAGAAAATGAGACTTGGAGAGATCAAGGCTACTTGTGGATAGCAGGATTTGAACCCAGTTCTGACTCTGGAGCCTGAACTCTTAGCTACTTAGGATGCTGTCGTTAGAAAGCTGTAAGCCTCGGGCCTCAAAGATGCTCCAGCTGCATAAAGGGAGGTCTGGGCAGTCCTGAGTGAGCGGGGTCAAGCTCAAGAGCGTTGTCTTTGGCATCCCCAGTTCTCCACACCACATTGCACATTTGGGGATTCCCCACTGCAGACCCTGTCCCGACAACCAGGACCCCACTCCCCGGGGTTCTTGTTGGTACCATTCAAACTTTCCAGAGACCCATGCCAACTGGGCCCACTCACTGCTGGACAATGATGGGTGGTGATGAATTTTATTTATCACTCCCTCCAGTTTTTATAGTATGGGCAACACAGTGGGCAGTCCAGGCTCTAGATTCACTGGTGACATGGACCACTGCCTGCATGTGAGGGGAAGGGCATCACTGGGGTTCCTGTGCCCCAAGCCCTCCTGCACCACAGTGCTGGGAATTCCCATGACAACACTCACTCTCTAAAGGCCACCTGGATAATTGCTTTCTTTTTCTAAATCTGAGCTTATTCAAAGAAAAATGACTTTGGCTTGGCACGGGAAAAAGTTCAGGACATTATGTTGTTGGAAAGGTTTATGAGCTTGAAAAGAGTGGAGAATTCTTTCAGTAGGTAGCATCCTCAGCCCCTTCATGGTGAGGAGTTTCATTCATTTTGTGGCATCAGAAGTAAGTGTTCAAAAGGGTGAGCATTTTAACTGGTGGTGTCACCCGGAGGAGCGGTGAGGGATCAGCTAGCCACCACCACAAAGGGGAGGGATGCGCTTTTGATTGAAATATGAAAGCTACAACGTACATTCTGTGTTGTTGTTTTTAAGATTTTATTTGTTTATTTGAGAGAGAGCACGATCCAGAGAGCACAAGCCGGGGGGAGGGGGGAACAGCAGAGGGAGTGGGAGAAGCAGACTCCCCGCTGAGCAGGGAACCTGACATAGGGCTCGATCCCAGGACCCTGAGCTGAAGGCAGATGCTTAACTGACTGAGCCACCAGGCGCTCCTGTTGTTGTTGTTGTTGTTGTTTTTAAATAAGCAATCGTTTAAACCTATTTTTATTTATCTATTTTAGAGAAGGGGGAAGGGAGAGAGACAGAATCTCATGCAGGCTTCACAACAAGTGTGGATCTCACGACCCTGAGATCATGACCTGAGCCAACACCAAGAGCCGGATGCTTACCCAACTGAGCCACCAGAACGCCCCAAACGTATTTTTAATTTTATGTTAACCTTAATTTTCCCAACTTTTCATTAGAAAAATTTTAAACCATAGAAACTTGCAAGAGTAATAGCTATGAGATTCACTAACAAGTTAACATTTTGCCACATTTGCTTTATCCAATCTCTTTCTAGAAACATATACATTGGTCCAAAACAAGTATCAATATTTCTTTTCTTCCTCCCTTCTTTTTTTTTTTTTCTGAAATATTTGAGAATACAGTTACAGGCATCCTGATATTTTACCCGGATATTTCTGCATATGTCCGCTAAGATGGTGAACATTCTCCTTCATAAGAACAAAACCATTATCACACCCAATGAATTTAACATAGATACAAATCCGGGCTCTCTCTATGATCTGTCTTCGAGTTTTTCCAGCTATCCTGATTATGTCCTTTCTTGCTTTGATCGTGGACCTAACCAAGGACCATCACCTTCTGTTGGGTCTCCTCAGTCTCTGATCTGCAACCTTCTTCCAGCCTGCCTTGTCGTTTGTGACACTGATATTTATTCATTCCTTTGGCAGAATGCCTCCCAATGTGGATTTGACTGATTGCTCCTCATGAAGAGATTCAGGTTTGGGGCAGGGGGAGAGGGGCGGGATTAATTTTTATTCTCTTTTTGAATAGCTGATGTACTGATGTGAATAAAACCCAGAAGGTATGAAAGCATACATACTGAAGAGTGTCCCTCTTTCCCCTGTCTCCAGACACCCAGTTCCCTTTCTGGGAGGCAAACCGTGTTCCAGATTTCTGTGTCTCTTTCAGAGATAACATAAGGGAGATGGCTCGTGGTGGCTCCCACACCTTGAACTGGGTGGTTCAATGGGTGTGTGTGTCTGTCTGTCTGTCTGATTGTGTTACTGGCTTGCATAGAAACCTTGGAAGGTCCCTGGAAGGCCATCAGGATCTTATATGGCCACAGGATCTGGTGCTCTGGACCGTGCCCCTCTCAGCCCAGCTTACTCCACTCTCACCTGGAGGGGCCCTGCCACAATGGCCTTCCCTCCACCCCTCCTGTCTGCCACATGCTAGTCCCCCTCTCTAGAACATGCCTGCTCCTCTTCACCTAACTAGCTTCCCGTCACCCTGCATGTCTGGTCCACCAACCCCTTCCTCCAAAAAGCCATCCCTAAATCCTGGGTAGTATTACATCTCCTGGTAAGGCCTCCTCGGGACACCCTGTTCCCTCTCCTTGCTCCAGAAGGGAGGAACCAGTTCTAATTTGGGCACCAGGCTCAGTGCCTCACACATAAGAAGCTTTCAGTAAATATTTGTGGAGTGTGGATGCACCTGTGAATCTTTCACATCAGGCAGGATGCATCGGAACCAGGCTTGGGGCGAGAGTGGAAGGACTTCCAGGGCTGGTCCAACCCAGGGACAAGCTAAAGAAGTCAAATATCCCAATGGTGGACAGTGGTCAGCAATGAGGCCAGTAGGTAACTGGCTCCCACTCTACCAGTCCTGAGGGTAGGAGTTCCTGGGAGAAGCAAGCGAGTTCCCAGGAGCCAGACTGGGCCTAATCAAGGACCCAGCGAGCAGGGAGGGAGACCTGAGGTCCTGGGGCTGCCAGAGGGCCCAGGCGTTGGGTGAGGCTGGGTGTTCGGGAGGATTATTGACTGGATCTGTGAAGGCTCAGGGACCTTGCAGGGCCCTACCTCTACCCTGCTGGGAGCCGTCAGACACAATGTGGGCCAGCCTCTCACAAAAGGCCCAGCAAGGTTAATAAAAGCCTCCTTCCAAAGTCTGGCAGAAGGCACCAGGTGTGACCTTTGACCCCTGGGTTCTGCAGGTTCGCTTGGGCGAGGAAAGAGGAAAGGAGGAGCTGAAAAATCTCTGCAAAGAGGTTTCACACTTGGGCCTGAGGCCAGAGGAAACAGTAAAGCTCACAAACAGGACGCCGCTCTCCTTCCCCACTTGTCCTTTGAAGAGAGAAGCAGGATGGCAGCTCAGACCCCTTAATGACCTGTATGAAATACATTCATAGAAAAAAGAGAAATCTCAACCAGGGTAACAGTGCAATGAGAGGGGCTTGTTTTGTTTTGTTTTTTAGTCTTCTCTGCGATTTTCAAATTTTTTTCTTCAATGAATTCCAATTATTATGTCCTTTTACAAAAATAAAGAGGAAAACCTTTTCAAAGCTTCAGTACACATTCCTTGAGAGTACTGGTTCTAAACCTCGGCTGTTCATTGGACTCACGTAGGGCTCTTTAGGAATACTGATGCCTGGGTCCCACCCCAAAGTGATTCAGAGCTCATCGGTTGGGTGGTGTGGCCTACCCAGGTGATTATAATGCACAGCGTCTTGGCAGCCACTGACCTCAAAGGAGTATGCATTGGAAAGGTCCAGTGAAAGATACACCATCGCTGAGCATCCATATCTGGGGAGGCCACGTTCAGGCGTTTGAACTGCATATCATATAATTTCAGGGGACACCATTAACACAGCCTACAGTATGAATGGGGCCTCCCTGGACTTGTACAAGGCAGCAGCCTTGTAAGTATGGATATATAATTATATATTCATAGATACATCATTTAAACACTGATTGCTTTTGTTGACTACAACCCTCCGGGGGGAGCAAAGTGACTTTGACTAAGTTGTACAGAGCATTTTAACTAACTCAGTGTGTGCCTTCTGGGAAGATGAAATCTGAAGGCCAAGATAGCAATAGGAACCATGAACTACAGTGACCACATCAGTCCGGCCCCATGGGTTGTCCCGCACACAGGACTGAAAGGACAAGCCCAAGAGAGCTGGGACTTGTGTAGAAGCCCAGGGGCAGGGAGGAAGTCACCAGCAGACGGTCAAGGTGTGGTTGGTGCCCTGTTGGGGCAATGCGGGCAGCGGTCCAGTGGGGGTCTTCAGCCTTTACCATGAAGCTTTTTTGTTTCTGCCCATTGGGGGGACCACAGTTCTTTGACAGGATCTAATTCCCTGCCCTTGAACCTGGGCTGGACTTGGAGCTGTTTAGAGGAAGGGAAGGCAGGGCAAGTGATGCTATGTAAGTCTTGAGGCTGCAGAGATGTGCAGCTTCTGCTCTTGTCTCTTGAGTCACTGCTTCTTGGAGCCTAACTGACCTTCCATGGGGAAGCTCAAGGAGCCAAGTGGAGAGGCCCATGCGGAGAGTGATAGAGCTGCTGGCCACCAGTCCCACCGAGCCACATAAGGGAGACCGTCTCTCCCTTCAGCCATTCCCAAGTCCCAGCTGACACCACGCCACGTAGAAAACCCACCTGGTGAACTCACAGAATTATGAGAAATACATCTTTGTTGTTTTTGAGTCACCAAGTTTTGGGGTTTTTTGTGACACAAAAATAGGTGGCTGACGCAAGGCCATTTCTGCTCTGCAGGTGGTAGGGGGCCAGGCTAGTGCAAGTCACATGGGCTGACCCACTTCTGGGGCCTCGTAGGCATGGAGGGAAGGGCAGATCCCGATAAAGCAAGGTGGTTGTTTTTTAAAAATATTATAAAATATTTATATTTATCAGAGTAATAGTACCTGGCCATAACATACTGGCAACAACTCAGATATATCAGAAAAGCCTACAGTGAAAGCAATTACATCTTACCCATCGTACTTGCCCCTACTCACCCCCGGTCCCCATCCCCAGAGACGACATCTTTCAGCAGTTCCCATTGATGGTTTTTCCCCAGTCTGGAGAATTCCAGTGTGGAGATCTCTCCAAATCACAAACTTACACTTCCACTCCTCAGTTACCATCTTTAGACACCAGCTACTCACTCTATGATGGCTAAGGTAAGGGTTTACCTCACTCCTCCCAATGTTTCAACTCTGTTACTACTTCTGGTTCTTCTGCGAACAGCTCCTATTGAACAGCAGTTGCTGATTTCCAGCTTTGGGACTCTCTCAATTCCCAACTTTGTAAGACGAGGAGATGGGCACCCTTCCCGTGCTGTATCCTTTGTTCTCCCTCCCATAGCCCCTGGCTCTACTATGACCACTTTGCAGCACTGCGTAGTTTAACCCGGGGCACAGTGCCTCCCTGGGGGAGCATCCATGAGGTCCTCAAAATTAGGTGAAAATACGTTCCATTTCCCGGGGAAGTTCAGAACTTCCATGATTCTGGAAGGGGTAGAGTGTTGGACCCCACACAGGGTGTCTACTGTCTGCTGCCCAAACCTACCTCACCATTGTTGCCCCTTGTGCCCCGGGGGCTGACCCACACACCATGTGCATCACCAGCGCTTATGCAGGTGGCTCTGGGCGGGGGTCAGCCAGTAGGGAGCACCGGCAGGAGTCAGGGGAGAGGAGGAGCATGAAGAAAGGCGTTTATTCCTATGGATCCCTTCTGGCAGGGCCATCTTGGACTACTTGAAGGACCAGCTTCGTTCAGGGTGGCCTTCTTCCAATAACCCTTCTCTTCCATTCTGGGAACCACCCTGCCCCTTGGGACTTAGGCACAGGGGTGATAACAGCTCAGTTGCTCCTAGCCTCAGGTCACGAGGGACAACATGCCCCTCCTCCCACCTTGGTAAATAGTCCCTTTCATCGCCCACCTGAATGATCCTGATCTGACCATGGCATTTGTTTCTTATTGGGCCTCTATTACTGATCAGGTTCCCTGGACACAAACTGGGAGACGGGGGTTGTGTGAGGAGGTTTTGGAAGAGAGTTCTGGGCAAAGGGAGAAGCTGAACTTCGATGTTGTCTCAGGGTGGGAGGGTTTGTGCTGCCCCTGGCAGAGGCCTGAAGTAGGACAGCCTTTAGAGTTATCCTGAATCCAGGCAAAGGGCCAGGCATGTAATCACATCCCCAGATGACCAGACGTTCAATGTGGGATGGGGTGTAATCTCGTGGTGAGGGCAATTCCCAGGAAGGGCCCATGGGCAGGAGGCCCCAGCCCCCTCTAGGACCATGAGAGCTCCAGTGTCCAGGGGTGGGGGAGCACACCTGGCCCTGGCCCCGCCTTCTGGCCTGGGTCCTTTGTTCCCTGCATCCCACCTCCTAGCAGTC